GTGAAGAGGCACTTATGAGAAAAATGCCTTAAAATGATATTCTTTCAATTTGAACGCTAAAAGACTGTGTAGTGGAGGTTTTTTGGCACGAGAAACCCGAATCTGATGTTAGTTTTAAGATGCAATCAATTTTTCACAGACTTTTCATACAAAAATCGAAAAAAAAATTCATTTTTGTATGGAAGACTTGCCTTTGTGGTACTGTAATGATGTGAAACTTTGAACAGGCTATTTTTTGGATTGAAATTTCTTTAGACTTAGTATGATTATTTATTTTGATAAGAAAATAATATTCACAAGTTTTCACGGTAATTTAAGTTACTGCAACCATACATAGACCAAAATTTCAGTTTATTCCCAAAATTTCGGTTCCATGCGGAAAAGTCAGCTTGCGTACGTAAGCCTCTTTATTTTTCTCATTCACCTTTTTAGCCAAGTTTCAGTGCCCCAATGGGGTCAAATCTTACACTTTTTTGAAAAAAAGGTGAATGAGAAAAATATCAATTCCTAAGTATTTTTGCATGCTGAGGAGTCCAAAAAATTTCTCTTGTCATTCTGAACAACTTTGTAGTACATTATTTTTTGATCCGATGAACTTTTGAAACATTTGGAGCACCCCCATCCCCCATGGGGAAAAATTCAAAATTCTGCTCAAATAGAAATTTTCTATTTTTTACCCCCAATTTTTTTCGAAATTTTCACCTCCCTGGAAAACCCGATTATATGCGCCACCCTGTATATAAATGGCTGCTATTTAACGCATCTCTTCGCTCGGATTGTGTGAATGCTGGACATAACAATGGTCTCATTGTTTGAAATTTTTAACGTGTTAAATCATTTCATAACAATGACACCATTGTTATGTCGAGTATACGCAGCGTCCGAGCGAAGAAGCGTTTTCAGGCCCCGAACATGATAAAACCGGCATGTTGAAAATTAAATACTTATTTTTTTTGGGCCACCCTTGTTTAACAGCTCTGAATAGAACATTGAAGGTAGACTTCCTCAGGCAGTACCTGATAAGCGTAAAAAATTCAAAATGATCTCTATTTAAAATAAAAAAATGAATTATTAAACGCTAAATGTACCAGAATAACTGAGTTTGTTGCTTGAAAATATCTGCACAGTAAGAAAATATCAGCCGATGCTATACGCAAAACCAACTGGTACGTGCGCTCATACGTTTTTACATCTTTTACATCTAGTGACCATACGATTTTTCGACTGTGCGAAGATACGCACAAAGAGTAACGAATCAGTCGAAAAATCGTGATATTTCCTTACTGTGTGATTATTGCCAATCGGTATATCCTTTATTAGTCGAAAGTTGTTGAATGTTATTACAATTCGAATGCTAATGTTTCCAATGATTTTGTTTCCGATTGAGGTATTTACTCGAATGGATTTGTTCTTAAAATGAAATGGATGAAAATTTGTTACTAACTGTCTCTATTTAAATCTAAACGTTGGATTCGTCGTTGGCATACATAGATGCTAAACATCTTTTCAACTCAATTGAAATGGTCTTATCATTCTTCCATAAATCGATGATAAACCTACAGGAATCAATGTGCTGGCAGAATGCGTGTCTTCCAGTCCAAATGCGATAACTTTTGGAATATCGGGATACAAATATAAACATTGTTTTAAATCTTTAATTTGGTCGCCAATTGAAGGTCGACGAGAATCGAATTCGTAGTCGGCATATGGTTGTAACATAGACACTATTGATTTGCCGTTTGATTTTTCAACCACAGCCACTGAGACACCGCCTGTGTAATAGAAAAAAACATGAAAAACACCGTCACAAATGAAAATAAAATGAATGACTGTACCGAGTATGGTGTCGGTGAAACGCAGTAAAAATGTGCCTGGTAAACATTTTTCAAGCATTTCTTCTGCTTTCTTTCGTTTAATAAACCCAGCAATCAGTCCTGATTGCCATGCATCACGGAGATGTTTGCGTGTTATTTCCATAATTGAATAAAACCATTCGTAGAACGTGAATTTTCGATTTGGCAACGGATCCACACAAAATTGATAGAATGAAATCAAGTTATCCTCGGTGTTTGAAGGCTTGGAAATAAGTTTATCGCCTGAAAGTTGAAGAAAACCGTGATTAAGTGGGATTTTTATTGTCATTCTTTGGATAAAAGGCTGTTCAAGAAAAGGAGGCACCGGAACTGGTATTATTTATATACAAAACGTTGGTGAATCGGTCTTGGCAACGAAGAAATTAATAAAAAAGTGTGCAAACAGTGCCTAATTTTTCAAGTGCCGCACTCAGGTGTTCAGACACAAGAAAGAGCAGCACTTACAAAAAAGTTCCCGCAGCTCTGCTTTAGAGCAATTTCACATTTAAATACACAAAATACATCCCCTTTCATATTTGAACTACATGGCAATGAAAAGTGTTACAATGAGATGAAAGCCAAATTTTGTGCTGCCAGTGAATTGGTTCCAAGCAAAACAACACTACTTACATAAATGATCCAAGTGTTCTTTAGTCAGAGATCGTCCGGCTTGTGTTGTAAATTGTTCATTTAGAATAGACGCCAATTGTGACCATGGTACTTTGTCGACAACTGAGAAAGGATTGCCATCGTTTGCCGAGAATGCATTACGCCATAGAACGGTGGCACATGCCCTTGACGCTTGAGAACTGAATGTATAAACCACAACAGGTGTGGACATGGTCCAGATCTAATTTTGAAAATACATTCAATTTGTTGAGTTATTCAACTAGGGATTTCAAAAAAGAAAACAAATTGTTTGCCGAATAAAAGGGGTGCACTTACATCAATCAGAATATCGTTCATTTGAAATTTTAGTCGAAATAGAAAAACGAAGTCATTTGTTGGCAACTCATTTTCATCTTTTCGTGTGACACCTTTGACGGTTAACCTTTTTAAATTGCATGTTAAATGACCGTTATCCGGCTGAAATTTCATGTCTCCGGTATTGTTTATAACGCAACCGCTAGATTCCGATAATGATTGTTGCTGTTGCTGTTGAATTATTGATTGCGACTCTATAAAACGAAACAAAAATTGTTCAGCGAAAAATTGACTATTCAAACTCTGAATACTTTTGTATATAAAGTCACTTTGTAGGCTGTCATATAAGTACACCACTCAGTGTGGTGAATTCTAGGGGAAAATGACTCGTTGTAAGTTCATAAGTATCTGTAAGTTTCACAAGTTCGCGTAAGTTCTCTTGAGTTCTATATACATTTTTGTAAGTTCGTCCAAGTTTTACGTAAGTTCCTATAGATTACTAGTAAGTTTTTCAACGTCAATTGAAAATCGCAGAATGTTGTAAATGGTAATAAATGTTAGTCATGTTGAATCAGATAGAAAATAATTTGTATAAATATGTCGAGCAGGTTTTCGGTGAAAAAATACCAAGAAATATAAATTCGTCTAATCAGAAAGAGTCGGTTTTGATAATGAATAATCAGTAATAAGTATGAGTGTTGAGAGCCATGCTTCAATATCAAAATCAGGTCTTTTAAGCATGATATCCAATTTACTAATTGGATTGGTATTTTATTTTAAAATACGTTCTACTTTTTTATTCAAATTATTTGCAGCGTGAGATGTAATAAAAAAAAGTTGACCAGTGTTGTGTCATTTGACTACTACATGTGCGACTGTTTCGGCATGTTGACGCATATCGAACTTACAGCAGTGTGTTAATGTATATGGACAAAGCGTAATTTCGTAAAAATTCTCATAAGTAGCGTGCGATTTCATAAGTTCGTCTAAGTTTCGGTAAGTTTTTGGTACAATTCTATAGGTTTCGTCGAACTTATAAGTAGTCATTTTCCCCTAGGGTGAATTATTTCTGAAATGTTTTCGGTGCTAAAAAAATTACGCGTAATAAATTCAAGTATTTTCGCACTACTAAAATGCATAGAGTATTTATATATTGGTAGCTACATAATGAGATTATATACCAACAGCAGAGAACAAAGAAGAAATGCGTAAAAGAAAATTGAAAAAAAAAACTCACCAGACAAGATAGAAACTGATACTCTGATTGTGTTAGATACATTCGAAAACTGCGTAATAAGAACACGAACACTTGCGTCAAACCTATGAAAAAAAAAATGATTTTTTATTTTGGAATTTCCATAATTTTTCCATGAAATACTAACCCAATGTCTTTTCTTATGACTTTTGGTGGTTGTTTTTCCACTATTACACTCGATTTGATCAAATTCTTCAACGAATTCATTATCATTTCATTGAATTTTTCCTCACTGCCATCGATAACATTGGCATGAACGTGTGAACTATAAATTCTTTTAAAAAGCGTACGTATATCCATGACGCATGAAAATAGTTCGTTCAGCCAACTTTGAATACCATCAAGCTCACTTGGTGACGTCGAATTCATTTGAATTTGTTGGTGTTTCCACTTTTTCAGTTGTTCATTGATCAATTCTTGTATTTCATTCAATAAATTCAGCGCATTTTCCATTGACACAAAGATTTCGTTTCGTTTCTCTCGTATTTGGCATAAGGTCCGATCACATTCGTCCAACGAATCCATTTCTTCGTTTTCTTTTGGTGACGTTTCACAATGATTCCATAACTGTTGAATTTCTTCGACATTTTTGATCAGCAGTAACTGCGACCATTCATGACAGTACTGTTCACCACAAGCACACATTTTTAAAACCATTTCACGCAGAACCAAAATTTTTGTCATAATTTTGAATTTTATTTCAAACATTTCGTTGTTGCTCTGGGTATCCACACTTTTTAACACACTCATGGCGACTTGTTTCACAAATTTAGATGAAAAGAATCTTTTTTATAAAAATGAAAGAAAGAAGACACACATTTTAAGAAAAGAACAAATAAACTGATACAATTAAAAAAGGAAGTGGATTTTTATCTTTGATTCGAAGAACAAACGATCGTTTTATTAGATGTAAAAGACTACGTGTCAGAGAGTGTGTAAGACAAATATTTTGTGATCAAAAACAATGAATGCTACGTCAGTTAAAAGCTCAAAGCTTTTTATTACAGCAATGGCAATGCAGACCTCATTAAACACATTTTCTAATTAAAAAAAAAATAAATTGATTGTAGCTTAAATTTACTAATTTAGACTTTTAGATTGAATAACTAAACGGAATTGGTCATTCAGTGATATGGATAATTTAAAAATTGTTCAACCTATAAAACTGATTGTGGTTACATGATGTAACAGCTTTGGAATAACCGATTAGTCATTAAAAAAGCCATAAAAACGCTTATAGCTGAATAACAGCTGAACAAAACCATACCCTCCTATTGACATTTTCAATTATAGTCAAATAAATTCATTCAAATAAAAACCCAATCTTTTTTTATGGAAAACTTACACAAAATTTAGAAATCTTTTTTGAAGTCTGATTTCTTTGAAAAAATTGAAAAAAAAAAAAAATTAAGCAATTATTTAATTCTTTTTCAAGTTTTTCCAATTTTATAAAAAACTTGATGAAATATTGCACTGTCAGGCCTGGCTCTTTACACCATTTTACTTGTGTTTCTTGGTATCTCGCTCCGTATTCTATTTCGTGCTTTCGTAACTTACAATCGGTGTAAAAAAAAACCAGGCGAATGGAACGATTTGAGTGCTTGAACTCTTTCAAAGTATATCCCACAAGAAGATTTGCTGATTTGAAATTATTTCAATTATAACACGATTTTTTTAAACTTTCTTCGTTTTTTTTTTTTAATTTTAACCAATTATTTGAAAAATACAAAAATATTAATACATATTCTATATTAAAAAATTTACTTACAACTTGAAGAATTTTAAAGATACGTACGATTATATCAAATTTTAAATAATGAATGTGAAGATGGCTATGGGTGAAGCCACTTATATAGACGTTTTTAGCCCTTCGTTTCGACGAATAACAAACTTGATTAGTAATCAGTGCTTACGGCGAAAGACAATTTTCGTTAAAATTTCAAATGTGTTTCGAATCAATTTTTCAATAAAAAACTACATAAAATTTGTTTTTTAAAAAACGATAAAATTTCTTTATCCGCAAAGTCCATCACAATAAATACAAATAGTGCAATACACTTAAAATAAATTTGTGTTTTATTTTAAAATCATTGATAAAAGCTACATATGTTCGCAGAAACCATAGGACGAGCCTAAATATGTCTTTTACATGTATTTATATGAAAACGTCATTCTCTGAACTTTAGAAGAATCCCCCTACACTAATGTAAGAGGAACTAAAAGAAATTGTTTGTGCATTGGATAAATTTCCAATATTGTATATTAAATAAGACATGAACCACCAAACATTTTGTTAGTTCGATGTTTATAGGATAGATACAGCGCCATTCAATGTCTGACAACTATACCATAGGACAATGGCAGAAACCAAATTTCATAACAAAAATGTAAAACTCTTATTGGTAGTCAAATAAAATAAAACATCATACATTCATCTTTTACAATAGTTTATTTTCGAAAACAGAAACAAAATAAATATTTTTTTCTTCATATATCAATAAATATTAGTTTTATAAATGTTAAAGTTTCAATATTTCGATATTCATCGGATAAACAAGCGTCATTGTCACATTTGATTGGGATCAAAGGATCGTTGTGTGATTACTGGTTGTGGAACATCGAATCTATCGCTATTGAGAAAGGAAATCAAAAACTATAAGATTGAAGATAGATAAATTTTGATAATTACCTTGAAACTGATGTCATATTAGGCGAATTGGAATAACTGACGATCGGTCGCTCAGATGGCACAACAAACAGGCCTATGGATTCAATAAGATTTTAATGAGAAGACATTTTAATTGTTTTTCAATTTGGACCAGTAATTTGGGTCAAATATGGGTCAAACAAACAAAATTCCCCCAACGAATCATTGATTATTTGATTGCCCAAGAATGAATGCTCTACTTCTATTTACAACTTATTGAAATGTACAGATCAAATGAGATCACATGAAAAGTATATAACATGTTACGAATAATAAATTAGCTGGAAATCGATTATAATTACTCGATTTGAATGACATGAATCACTAAGTATATATTTCTTCAGTTCTTCAGAGACGAACAAAATCAGATCAGACAGAAATACTATGGAAAAATTCGATGAACGAGCTGAAGAAGGAAAGTCAATGGATTAACAAAGGGTTGTAATGTGCTCAGAAGAAATACATTTGATCAAATCTCAAGGCATGGAAAAACATCGTGTTACAACAATATCACTCGTGTTTTTCAATAGAAAAATATCACAAGGCTCACGCTTTATGATAGTGATCTTATTGAGTTTAAGCTGTCACCATTTGATTGATGGTGCATTTTTTCTACTAAAAACTGAACACGCTTTGGGGTTTTTGCTTTTAAACTCTGATATACGATTTTTGCAATGTTTTTTTTATTAATAACAATGTTGTTGTTATGAGCAAGCATCGTATGTTCAAAAAAGATTGACGCAGTTGCTTGATGATGTTAATTTTCTTAAAAATCTATCATCCATGTACACAACACATTTTTGTCCGTAAATTAATTTTTTTTGTTTTTGAGCTTTTGACTCCAGAGAGTGGAATTTTTTAGATCTTTTGGTTGATTTGAATTATACATATTTTTTTACATTTTAATGAGACATACTTTTGTGGTGTACGAATTTTCGGGTTTTGATGTTTTCATTTTTGAAAAAGCCAAATTTCGAAAAAAAGATTCATGATAAAATTATTGTACATAATTTGTACATTTTAGAAGTATAAACGATTTGACTTCTACCGAACCCATCCAAAAACGTGAATAGCTCGAAAAAAAACTATTTTCGAGTTTTTCCGAATGCAAACTTTGGAACCAAAAGGGATCGAATTTCAAAATGAGAGATGGTATTGAGCAGCAAATTTGGACCAGAGTAAAGGTCACATCTTTTAAGCGAAGTGCACCAAAGCTTTGCTTATGAGTAGTCTCAGTCCATGACCATTGGTGACAGTTTTGGTCGATTTTTAAAAGAATTTGAAGTAGAATTTTCCACCCTTCTAAATAAGTCATCGATACTTTTAATATCTAGTTAACATGAATAAAACTTACGTTTTAAATTGACATAGTCGCCATTCGTTTTAACATTGGTTGAAGTTGTTGTAACATGTTTTCGAAAAGCTTTGTCCTTTGGAATTCCAGGATAGATATAAATAAACTCTTTTATATGTTTGATCAGATCCCCAATTTTGCGAACATTTTCTTTATTTGGTCGTTTATCATTATTTTCAAAGTCTCTATTTATAAATGGTGCCAGATGTTTTACTTCCAGCATTCCGTCATTTTCTTCGACCCATGCAACTGAGATACCACCTGTTTTAATGGAATAATGATCAAAATTTCAATAAACATGACATGTCTTGTCGACTGACGTCATCAGAGCTGATGAATCAAATCAATTGCATTGAAAGCAAGTGTTGTGTCACCAAGAGTACATAGATTCGCCATTATCTGATCTGGTACAGTTCATTTTTGAAATTTTTCATACTTGACACTATTTTGGAATTAATAACTTTTCGAAATTATCACTGTGGTCGTAAAATCATCTCTGAAAAAAAAGGAAATTTTAATTCTTTTTCAGAGATGATTTTACAAACACAATGGCAGTCCATGAATGATGATAATTTCGAATAGTTATCAATTCTAAAACAGTGTCAAGTATGACAAATTTCAAAAATTAATTGTACATTGAATCTTTTTAAAAATATTTGATTTTTTTATTCAAATAAATATAAAAATTGAAATCATTTGATTTAAGAAGCATAATTCAAATCAATTAAATCATTTGATTTGATTTCAAATATGTGCGACCGTTTAATTTCAAATCAAATTATTTTATTTTTGATTTTCATTTAAAATCCACTTTTGAAATCCCTGGCCCAACCTCATAATACTTACCCAGTTCAGTGTCGGAAAATCGAAATAAAAACGTCCCCGGCTGACAATCGAGCAACATTTTTTCGGCCTTACTTTTGCTAACGAACCCTTCAATTAATCCGTTCTTCCAAGCGTCTCTAAGATATTCACGAGTAAGTTTCAAAATTGCGTAAAACCAATCCCAGAATGGAAATTGATCGTATATTTTAGTTTTTCCAAAATCTAACCAAGATATTTCATCATTTTCTACTAGATTTGCTGCACAACATTTTTCATCTGCAAATATGAATCAGACGGTGATTTTAGCGAATACAAAGACAGATAAATCGAGTCTTTGTTGTTTCACTTACACAAATGATGCAAATGTTCTTTGGATAAAAGGCAGCCCGTCAGATGATAAAATTTTACACTCAATTCCCATTCCATTTTCTGCCATGGCACTCGATCGGAAACAGTAAAGGGAATGCGATTTTCGCCAAAAAACATATTATCCCAAAAGATTGTGGCATACGCGTGAGGTTCTTGTATTACATGGACGGTGAAAACAATTGGCAGTGAAAGGGTCCAAAGCTTTATCATGAAATAGACAATTTTTGGAAAAAATTATTTCAAGAAATTTCGTAATATTGAATGAAATAATCAAAATCTGTTTTTAAATCATAGAAAATGAACGTACATTCAATGGTGTGCCGTCGATTTGAAATTTGGATTTAAAGAGCAAGGCGAATTTTTCATCCGTTACATTAACGTTTGTCTTCTTTCCAGTTCTTCTTTCCACTTTGGATATTTGCATATTGTGTAGCTTGCACGTAACACGTTCTGGATTCGATCGATCTTTTGTAAAATTTGCCGTTTGAGTAACAACCTCGCCAGATGATTCTTCCAATGGAAATGCACAATTGTGTTGCAATTGAGCTTGAGATGCTAATCGAATGAACAAAAATCAATAAATAAATCAATTTAAGATCCCTTTCACTTACTAGGTTCTCGGAAAAGTAATATAAAAGTGGAAAGTTTCTGAAGATAATATTTTGATTGGCCAAAAGTGATATTTTTACAATGAAAGCACTTGAATTGAAAAGCAAAGCGGTTATTGGAACCGACGAAGTGCGGGCACTAGTCCATATAACTTCCGCAGTCCCTATAACAGCTCTGGATTGAGGCCAATATAGAAATGATTGTAGCTTTTAACTGCTGAAAATTATTGAAAAAAAGTGCCAAAAATTGACCGATCTTTGAACACATATGAAATGCATCCGTGAGGGTTGCTTGCTCCTCGTTTAAAGCCAAACGACTTTAGTAACCCGTATTAGAAGAATTCACGATTCATGTACATTCGGCACACCTTCGCTACTTAGGGGAATATCAACAGTAGAATTCACTGCGACATGGTAAAAAAATATCAAGTAGCCATATGTAGATTTTGTGCGAACTTTCTTTGACTGTGTATGGCTGTGAGCAAACACATGCATTAGACGCGCGACCCAGGGGCTTTTATGTTAAAATGAATACTACGATTTCAGTAAATATTGAAACATAATGCTGAATATTCAATGAATATTGTATGTATATAAAGAATATACACAAATAAATGTGTATAATTGCATAAATTTGATGAATATTTCGTGAATATTTCGTGAATATTTCCTGTATATATGAAATATACATATTTTGTCATTCTCTTTTGTGCGGACTTTCTTCGTTCCTGTGTCGCTTACTGTGAATATTCACAACATACAGTAGAAAATACGAAATATTCACTAGAGATTTATGCCGTATATATGATGAATAAGACGTGTATATTGTGAATATTATGTGAATATTTCGTATATTCATATACATAAAAGCCCCTAGCGCGCGACAGTTCGCATTGAACAACTCAGCGGCTGATATTCCATAAAGCAGCGATGATGTGCCGAGTGTACACGAACCGTGAATTGTTCTAATGCGCGTTACTGAAGTCGTATTGGCTTTAAACGAGTCTCTTTATGAACTCACTCGATAATAGCGACACCTTAACAGTTGAATCATCCTTATCCATTTTAATAAAGTTGGGCAATAGTAGACGAACACTCGCCGCGAATCTATAAATTTCGACAAGAAATTTGTAATTCATCATTTTCAATTTAATTTTTATTTCGTTACTCACCTGACATCCTTTTTGATAACCTATAATAATTGAATATGAAACTTTGAATATTTATAATTATAATTGGACAAAAGTTTTTTTTTTACCTGTGTCGGTTGTTCCTCTAAGATCAAACTATTCGATACCATTTTATGCATGAGATTATTAATTTTTGTGTTTTCCTGTTCCAATACGTCGGTTATTTTTGCATCGATGTGTGTGTAATTAATGACGTTTAAAAGTTTGCGTGCATTCACGACGCTGTTTAAAAGATATTCATAACGCATCTGAATGCCATCGAGGACTTTCTTGAGATTTGAGTTTTTTTCGTTGGGATCGATTTTCGTCGTTGTATTACAATCACCATAACAGGTCATTAATTGATCTCGTTTCCATTTGCACAATTGATGATCAACCATAGTTTCAATGTTAATTAATGAATCGCAAATGTTTTCGATTGATTTGCCGATCATGATTCTGTACTGATTGATTTTTTGTATGCTTTCATTCCAGCTATCAATACTAATCTGAATTCCACTCTGCGGTGGGTTCGGTGAATTTTTCAATTCTTGTAACTTTCGCGTATATACGACGTATTTTATCTCTTTTCGATATTCTTGAATAGATATATCACATCTTTCGATCGTACAACTTAAATTATGAAGCTGTTCGTCGATTGTATGCATTTCAACATCACCAATCAATGACATATTGCAAATTCACAAAAAAACGATTAAAATAGAAGAAAATTAAAGCTTCAATAAAAATTTAAAATTTAATTGAAATTACTAAAAATGATTACGATTCACCGAAATTCACTGATTCAAAAAAAATTTGAGATTTTTTTTTTTAGTGCGACCGGAAACACGTTTGCACACACTCAATTCAAAATGTGTATTAAATTATTTGATTTCATCGAAAATCGAAAATGATTCGTTCACATCTGATTACATTCATTCCTAGAAATTCGTTTTCTATTAATTCGGTAGATCCGAATGGCACTGACTGGTATTAGATTACGGTATAACTGACGTCTGCAACAACAACAAAACATAAACTAAAACGTCCACGACAGTAAATTATGCTCAAACTTGAAATAAAAAAAAACTTTCCTAAGAAATGCAAACACGTAAATTATCAAAAATACTTTAAAATAGAGCAAAAAAGTGGAATTTCACATAGCAAGAATTATATGCCTGCTTGAATCAAAATGTGCTGGACTTAACTTTTTGAAATTTTTTAAGAAAAAATGTTGAAGAAAAAGTGCTGATTCAAATATTGGCATGTGTGATTCTTCAGGCGCTTCCATGTGGCTTGTTGAAATCAAATACAAACCTATCCCAAATATTGATTAGTTTGCGAAAATATAAGATATTTTCGATAAACTTAGTA